TGCCTGCTATTTCCTCCCTACGGAGCAGCTCTTTAATGATATGTGGACCAACCACTACGCATGGTTCTAGCCCTGCCATTTTTGTGGAGGCTGCGGGCCAAATCAGCCGGTTTATTCCCGGCTATACCCCTATGACCAGGCACCCAAATAAGGTGCACTGTTCAGCCGTTCTATGCCCTCCTGCATTAGTAGCGATCTGACCTCATAAGCAGATATCCTTTTAGTACCGCTTGACTATCGCTGAGTATGGCAATACTTTTATTGCGATAGTTGCGTTGGAGGTTTATCTCTACACACCGACTTGTAGCAGACTTTCGCCTGGAAAATGCTAGGAAAACTTCCCATTGGAATGGAGAGTTTGGTACTTACGCCGCAACAGGTCCCTTAGCAGCAAGTCCAGCCTTCAATCATTCCAATTCGCCTTACTGCCAAGGGTAACTTTTAACTTCTTATTGAAGCTGACTTCTTTGGTAATGCTGTCCCTTGGGAGAAGGGTTTGTGGCATTTCCTCACTTAGCGTCTTCATCTGCTGGGACGAGAGATACCTTCTGAGTCTGTTTGGCTGCCTAGATACTTGTCCGTGATGACCATCTCCAACACTCTGCCGCTAAGGGTTATAGGGCCAGTATTTGTTGATCTGCCTGCTCTGTAAGCATGTTGCTTCACATGAAGCGACGAAGCCTTCAGCACCTTCGATCGTATTTCGTGGTCTATAATCTTTTCCATTTTCTTAAGTAGGAAGTAAGTAAGACTGATTGGCCTGAAGGATTTCGGCAATGAGTAGTCTTTCCGTCCCACCTTTGCAGTGCGCCATGGTTCTGGGATATATGCTGGATTATCTCTCATAAACCGAACAAGGTTGGCAATAGGACCTGCTGCCCCAGCAGAAATGCTGGAAGGATTCTATCCGCACCCAGGGACTTATAATTTTCGAAGGAGCCAAAGCCCACTTGGTGGAGTCTGCAGTGAAGAGCTGTTCTAAGCGAGATAGCTTTCGTTCGACCACAGATCGAATCTGGTCTTCTCGAATTGTCTCCGGGAATAGCGCAAGTAGAAATACCATAGCTCTTTTTTCAGCGCTGGACGTATAGGTCCCATCCGATCTTTAAATTGCTAGTAATGTGTGCGTCTTGCCTCTAGCCAGAGCTTAAAGCAGCCTTGCTGCCTGATATGCCTCTATAATGGTTTATCGCGACAATCTGCTCTCCAGTCAAGCGTGCCCCAAAAGTGGCCCAGTCCGTGTTTTTAAGGATACGCATGGGAGGGAGTTGTTTGACTTTACCCCCAGTGCGACTCTTATGATACAAAGGTGAGTTCGCACACCACGTTTGCAATGCTGAAGTTCTTACTGACTCTAAATTCAATGAGAGAGTATGGTGGGCGTTGGCATCACATCCTAGGAGGAGGGGCAGCATATTCCTCCTGCAGTACTCCACCAGGTTGCCGACTGGAGTGAGGCGGCTTCTGAGGCGTAAGCTGTGCTGCAGACTGAGTTGCGTTTACTGGACGTTGGCCTCGATTACCGAAACTTCGTTTCCTATTGGCCACGGTATTACCACCCTTCCGTTTTTCTGAAGCAGGGGAGGCACTGTCGCCTCTCGCCCTGTTTCGCTCTTGTTTTTCGGCATCCTTCGGAGTTCTTTCTTCCTGGAGGTGCCTCAGGTACCATTTTAGGCTGATCGCTCATGCCTTTTCTCCTGGGATCATCCTGTCCTCTGGGACACTTAGTTGGTGGTAGCGGGGGTAGTCTGCCTCCCTTCTTCCTTCTTCTTTTGCGGGCCCCTTCGGTGGATGCCCGTTGCGACTGCTCTGAATCCGAGCATCTGATCTCTGTGGGGTCCGCTTTGTCCACGCCGGTAGCAGTAGATTTGACCTGCTGAGCGCCGCTGCATGTCATCATCGTTGTCCCTTGCATGCTCCTCGAGCAGCGCTCCTTCCTCTGGCGAAAGGGCGTCCAAGAAGCTGAACTTGTGTTTAGTCCCTGAATCTCCCTTACCTGCACCGGTGCTTGTGTTGTTGTCTTTGTCGGTGTTCGTTCGCTGTTGTTGTTCCGTTGGTTGCTGTTGGTTGTTTGCTCATATTGTTCGGACGACCTTAGGCTCGACTGGCGAGCCGTCGGGTCAGCGTTTAATATGGGGAACACAAAAGTCCCCCGCACCAGGGCCCCATGACGCGGTAAGGTCACCGTTGCGGGCCGGTGTTGGGAAGGCTCCTTTAGATTACAGCCGGATTTACTTCCTGGCTGCAAATCATTCAATGAGCACTTCGGAGGGGGCAGCTCTTGGTTGTCGCACGCATGCGGTTGCTAGCACCACTCACCCAAGTTGGGAGACGCCGAGAATGCCTTGCGACTTAAGCCCCTGCACCACATTATATTATTGTGAAGAATCATTGAGGCGTTTGCAATGTCTTTGAATGTATTAATATTACTAAAATTCAAATAGAACCTAAATTTTGCGTTTTTATGAGTTGATAATCAAAAATTAAAAAAGTTTTCCAAAAGTGTAATACCAAATATCGGCGTTGTAATTATATTTATACCTGACTCTCCAGTAAGATTATATTTATAACTTAAGATAGCCAAGATCTCAGACTAAACTTTGCATATTACATTCAAAAAATATATAACAAAATTGTAGTTTTCGAACGACATGTAAATATTCATTTGTAACCGAGCCCTATTGCAACTATAATGTAAATATTATAAATGTAATTTATCATTTATGTTTTTAATATTATTAATTCAAGTTTCTTTTCAGAAACAATGTGAGGATAACTCCGATTTTGCCGTACTTCGTTTTCATGCGGGTCCACCATATGAAGACATTGCATTTAAGATAGTACATCGAGAATGGGAGTTCAGCTACAAACGAGGATTCCGTTGTCAGTTTCATAATAATATATTTCAACTTTGGTTTCATTTTAAAAGATATCGTTATCGTAGATAAAATGCAATTAATACTTTTGTCCTGGTATTTGTATCAATTTATGTTGTAATTTAATATATTACCATTACCATATATATATATATTACATATTACCATTAAGATTTTTCCTTTCTGTGTCTCAGTTATGGCAGAGGATTTTTGCGAAACAATATTATGTTTAAATCTTTTAGTGCCGGGCGAAATAGAGGTGCCTATCCGAAAAAAACCGGCCGTTTTACAAGCGATAGGAAAAACGCCGTCTACAAAGAGTTCAAACAAAAAAATATTTTTTTAATTATCTTGTAATGAAGTTAGATCATTTATAACGCATTACAACAACATTACAACAAAACAGTATTGTCTAGTTTATTACTGCGTTCGCAAATAGAAGGCTTTTAAGCCGACATTACACTTTGTGGTGGCACCAGGAAGGAGGAGAAAGAATATAATAGAAGAAATTCGATAAATAAAAATATAGAGTCAATTGAAATCGCCCCGTCATAAATATAAATTTAAAAAAATACTTGGCAACATGCAAGACCTTGAACTTCAGGAAAATAATCAATGCTATTGAAACGGAAATTTTGTGGTCCATGTTCTGCGGCACGAGAGATTGACAGGTTTTTGTTTGTATTCCTGTTAGCTGCCATATTCGTGAGTAAGTTACTTACAATTGAAGCAATAGGTGATAAAATAATCGTATGTATCATTTTCTGCTTTTCAACGCAATTTTTAGGCAACTAACGACAGCATCCAGAAGGTCAACACCTCATGTGAATATTGCACTTTTTAATCATTTGGGGGCAAGAGATTTATTACTTTCTTTCCTTTTTTGAGCCAGTTATTTTGGGTTCTCCAATATGGATGATATGATTTCTATTCATTGTATTCAGTAATGTTTACAATTTTATTACTGAAAGATATACGCAAAAACAACGTTTACAAATTTTTCAATTTATTATCAAAATTATCGTTCTCCTATTGCAATTTTTCGTGCGCTTTTGTCTTTTTATGGTCGTAATAATCGTTCAGCTGTGCTCGCTACTTACCGAATTGATGAAAATTTTGAGCGTACATTTTCTTTGCATTATGTTCAATTGCCAATAAGACAAAGAACTGCTCGAAGTAATTAAAATATTGCTGCCGTTCAGACAAATATTGCTGAAAACCTCAATTTGTCGATTCCAAGACGTTTTCAAAAATTGGGAATGTCTCAAACCACAAGCTGACGGATCCTGTTGCTTGCATCCGTATAAAATTGCTCTCACTCAAGAACTGAAGCCATTGGGCCACCGTAAACGTCGTGAATTTGTTGATTTTTCTTTGGAACAACTTGAAAACGATAACGAATTTTCAAAGAAAACCATCTCTGATCATGCTCACTTTCATCTGAGTGGTGCGGTCAGCAAAACTGTCGATTCTGGTGCGAAGAAAATCAATCAATTATTCACGAACAACAATTACGTTCACCTAAATTGACAGTTTGATGTAGTTTTTGGTCTGGTAGAATCATCGGTTCGTACTTCTTTCGAAATAAAGCTGGTGACACCGTTACTAGAGCAATTGGAAGAAGTTGATCTTGACAACATCGGGTTCCAACAAGACGGGGTAACGTGCTACACAACACGTTTAACAACCGAATTCTTGCGAGAAAAAAATCTCCAAGATTCGATAATTTCAAGATATTGTGACATTGAATGGTCTCCAAGAAGTTGTGATTTAACACCATTAGACTACTTCGTGTGGGGTTATTTGAAATTTATTTGTCAATATTGAAGTGATATTCATGACATACGAGTTAATTTAGTGAAAAAAAATTCTCGAAAATTGGGTTCATCGAATACGTTCCTTCAGAAGAAGTGGACCAATATTCAGAACTAAATTTTATCGATTGTATGTGTTTTTTTTATGAAAAAAAACATCATATCACTCTTATTGGATAATCGGAACTTTATCGTTATCGGCATGTGCATTATGTACCAGTTCCCAACGAAAGGGGCCGTCCATAAATTACGTCATCGATTTTTTCAGATTTTAGACCCAACCCCCCCCCCCCCCCCCCCCCCCACCCCCTCGTCATTTCTTAATATTCGGTTTGGCTCGATTCATCCACGTCTTCAACCCACTCAACGTCAAGTGCCTGTCCCGTTACGCCGTCATGCAACTGTTGAAGGACTTCTATTCCTCGCCGTCCCAAGATTCGAGCACTACGACGAGGGGCCGCAGGACGTCCTGTTTCCTGTTCCAATAAACACTGAAACAAAAAAAGACTATAAGCACTTTATCGCTAAAATACTTTTTTGTACCTATGTAAAACAATACCTGATCCGGGGAACCGTGTACATAATCTTTCATATTTTTTTTGTGCTCCTTCATGGAGGTTTTTGAAGCAAAGTAAGTACCACATTTCGAACAGCATCTTTCTATTAGCTCGCCTTGTAACGTAGGACAGTAGAAGTCATATGGAAGTTTCTTAAAATGTCCAAGAGGTACATCCACTTTCAGTGCTATCCTCTTTTAAAGGAGGCGCTGCTTCCAGATTTGATGTAAGCAGCAGGGGTGGCGGCATAAATCCATCAGGGAGGATCTTGCGTAATTTGCTACGTGACATTGTGCAGCAAGCCAGATCTGAGCATTTGGAAATCTGTAACATATATTGAGACTCCTTAACGTGCTTGGTGTACCATTCAGGTCCAGGATGGGTGCCAATCTCCGGATCTGGTTTATCTGGACAGATATACTCTGCCACTACGCTTTCCCCGCTGACCATCTCGTTCCAAACGTTAGCAAGCGTTTCCCCAGCACATTTAAAATTCTTTTTCTCTAAATCGACGTCTGCAGTGCGCCGCTGGGTATCGAGATGACTGCCAAATTTATCGTGTGGAATTATTAATCCTGCAAGCTGGTGACTGAGTGGTGCCATTCTCCTTTCAACACGGTTAAACGCACTGCGTCCAGGTGCATTGCATGCTATTGCAATATAGTCCAAATTGTGGTTCAAAAAATGTTGCACAGCGTAGGCAATGACTTTTTGGTAACGGGGATTTTCGTAAGGACCTCCGTCAACAGTGAAAATCAGCACTGGCTTCACCACCCCCGAGGGTGTTTTCAATGAAATGAAACCAAAAAAACGTGAGATTTCGCATGAAGCAATTAGTATACATATTTACATACATATGTACATATGTTGTAGGTAGACAGATATACATAAAGTATGCGTTCTTTCATATTTGTTTAGATGCACACATAATTATATACATATATTTATATATATATGAGCATATGTGCGACCGCTTGGTCTTTTCAGATGTTATCAAAGCTTTTAATGATCATGCCATTTCAATACCCTTAATAGAATATTATTCCAAAAATTATTAATTTAATGTCTACGATATGAAAATAAGTTTCACTTTTACCGTGGTTTCATAAAACCACACAATAGTTTTCTATTATACTAAGTTTATCAGGGATAATGTCGGCTTGTAAAGGTAAAAGAATTTTTTAAATTGGTCCACTAGTTTCTAAGTATATTTTAGTACAAACAATCAAATCTTTTTTTACCTTTACAATATGAGTAATTTTTGACTTACTTTCTGTCGTGAAAAAAAAGACGTAATGCTTTTGTTTTCCCTGAGGGCCGGTAAATCTTTTAGTAGGTCCGAAATTTTCCTTTCTGCTGCATTAGCAAGTTCCGTCCGCTGTTTCTTTGGGTCAAATTCACTCTTCAGTTTATGCCATATTTCATCGCAAAGCTTTTGTGCGGCTTGAGGGGTTTTATCAAAATATCGTCTCTTCACAGCAGAAAACAATCGCTGGTGCACTTTTTGTAAGTCAATAACCATCGCGGATCGACTATAGTAATAAATAGCAGTGAAAATAGTTTTCTGATTTTGTTATTTAACGAATTTGCGTTAAACGCGTGATGGAAAAATCTGCGCGGATAAACGTGTTGCATCGTTCACGTTCGTACTCAGATTGACAGCGAACGCAGGCCGCAGGTCCGCAGCGGTGGCGGTGCGCGCCGAAGACAAAGGAAGCCGACTTTGTTTAAACAGCGCCGATTTCTTTTATTCTCCGAGTCGCCGCCAATCTTCGTTTAATAAACACAGTGTCGCATACAAACTATTTTCATAGGTACGATGTTATTTATAGTTTAAAAAAATAATGTAGACATGCCTTGACCTTGTAATAAATAAATAAATAAATAATGAGTTCAATAATTAATACCATTAAATACTTGCAAAATATCACAAGAACATTATCTTTCCTTAGTATGAGACATGTATTTAAGTATAAGTATAGTATTAATATGTACTTTTATTAATTATGTAATGTTGTAGTTATTATTTAAGTATTGTGTTTATTAGTATGCTTAGATCTTTAAAACTACGCAACGGATTTTGATGCGGTTTTTTTAAATATATAGACTGATTCTTAAAGAAGGTTTATATGTATAATACATGTAAGTACCACGGGCGAAGCCGGGGCGGGTAGCTAGTATTTTACTAGGTGTGCTGGAAGAAATTTCTTTTTAGAAATAATCTTTTTGTACGTGAAAAATAAACTATAAATAAATAAATAAGAATGAAGTCAATTTCGAACCCCCCCCCCCCCCCCCATCTATCATTTACCGTCATCCGCAGGCCAACATTTGTGTAGGACATGCAATGTAATAAATTATTATTTATGGATAAATAAAATTTACACTTAAAATTTTATGGAAAATTTACATCAACCCAATTCGTTAGCTCCCTGTCAACTGATTAGAAACCTCAGAAAGCTGCGGTATTTTGAAGTGAAACTTCTTTGCGATCGTTGGACTGTAATGATGGAAATGTTTTTGTTAATGTTAATAAATAGAGAAGGCGCAAATGTTAGCTGTGCTAAAATGTAAATTATTAAAAGGGAACATCGAAAATGCGCAAATTCGAAAATTTAATTACACCACGTCAAAAAGGAGGCTCTTAAAAGCGAACTCAACAAACTACGCCACTCTAAGAAGGTACCAAGCAAATTTTCACCACCTTATAAAGGAACGTGTGTATATGTATGCGCTGATGTTCTTTGGATTGCGCACTAAGGAAAATTAGAATAACAAAAAGAAATAATAAATTTTGAAGAACACATATATAATGAAGGAAATATTAAAATTAAATTAAAATTTACAAAAATTAAAAAAGGAATAAAACAACACCTGTGATAGGATTTCAGGCAATATATTTGATATAAATTTGCAATAAAGAGCTGTGCTATACAAGCAGCACCACGAACACTACACATTTAGTTTGGTCTAATATGTGAACTCAAACAGCAATCGTCGCTTACTTGTTTCAAATGACCAATTTGTATGTATATATTTCATTCGCATGTCCAAATATATTTGCATATGTGTACATATGTATGTATGTCCCTCAATATACTGTTTGTAAAAAGCTCGCGCTATATTTTTTAAATATGTCAATTACAACGCCAACAAATCATTCAGAAAGAACGCGCGGTGCTGCAAAACGAAAAGCAATCGCTTATGACTCTGCACTACGCTAGTTTTTCTGTGCGCCTGGTCAACCACATTTGGTTTTCATATGGTTGGTGGTTTTAATACCTTTCTTCTTTTCCAATTTTTTCACTTTAGTTAAAAACTAAATTTATGCGTCGCCTGTACAGCTGTCAGAACACAAATAGATAAATTTGCACATATAATTATTTTCTATAGAGCTTAAGTAATATAAGTATATATTTTTTGTTTTAAAAAATGCAAATATAATTTGAATTTTGATTTTGTTTACTACATCCTATGAAGCCATAAATCTATAATATATTTTCGATACTTTAAATTTAAGTTGATGTATTGGATATATAATTCTTTTACGAAGGTAAATACGACGCTATGAAAATGCAGCCAAATCGGTAGTCGTAGTATTTTAAAAGAGTATAAGTAAATTTTCAATAGCAAAGCACTGCAAAAAGGAAAAACGCGACAACACAGCCGACCGACACTGTCGCAAAATTGTGGATTCAAACAAATTTTGTCAACTCCGCGACGATGCACAAAATTCGCCCTCAATATGTATGCAAGCTCATTTGTATGTATGTTTGTCGGCAAAGTGGTCATTTGATTTTTTTCAACGTTTTGTCAGAACTCAATTTTTTGCTCCGCGCCGTCTCCGAGAGAACTCGCCGTTACTTCCATGACGTGCTACCATGGACGGAGGCGTTTCAACGGAGGATTTATATCATATTATTATATTGCTTAATTTGTATAGAAAATACTGATATCTTAGGGTTTATTTACATAATATTATAATATTTACGTAAAAATACACATAAATTCATACTTATTTAAACGTTTTCAAAATAAACTCGATTAATAAAAATATATCTGAAATAATTATGAGGTAGTGCACCCCTGACCCCTCCTTGTTTGCGATCGTTCAACTTGCTTCGTTACAGCTGGTTTGGTAAACATTCTCTGGCAACTATGCCAATGATTTTAAGCGGTGATTTTAATGTCAATTTTGCCTTGGAAGAAGCTCAACCACTTGTACAACTTTTAGAAAGTAAATTTAGTTAAAAAATTATTAATAATCCCAAATACTCAACAACCAGATCATGCACGACAATAGATGCAATTTTCTCAAGATATTTAAATAATTTACAATCACTAGTTTTCATTTCACATTTTATATTCCACAAACCAATTGTATCTTTTTTTGAACATGAAAGTATGGAAGTGAATTAATAGATTTTTTGTAAATGGAGGCGAAAACATCAACTATCTTTTTTCATTAACCTAACACCCTTAAAAATTCCAGAATAATGAATAGTGGCTTCTGTTATCGGGGAAATATTTCTATCTCATAAAACTGGCTGGCTGGGGTGAGTATTTTAATTTCAAGTGACCATCGAGATCCATGAAGTTTCATTTCTATCGCCTAGCTTTCTAGGCTGTTTGGTTTCATTAAATAACCGTTAGTTTTTAGGACGCCCACTTTGCGTAAACCAAATTGAGATACATACTCTATTGATAGTATAACGAAGGATTTATAGGTCAAACAGTCACCGACATAAAATCGTGGAATGAATCAGCTGATACGATCTATTCAATGTGAATGAACACTCACCACCGCTTCTACCGTCTGCTTCTACAGACCGTACGGTAGAATAACCGCCAAAATTGGATTTTTCCGGTAGAAATGAGTGAGCTAAGAGTGAGAGAGCAATCTCTTGCAACGTAGGGGTTAGTTTTCAGCTTTTACATAATGAAAAATTATAACTAAAAAACTAAACGTGTGAAAAATCGTGTATACAAATTGAACAATGGCAACATTAGTGAAATGAAAATCAAAAAGAACAACTGCGGGATAACTTTTGACAAATTTGGTTTGATACGGGCGGTAAGTACGGAAGGGAGGAATATCGCTGACTGTTTGAGCTATTAAAGCATCGTACGTCATGCATTTAAGGGTTACCGTCACACGCTGATTTTACGTCATTATTGTATTGTTTTTCATGACCAAATTATTTACATATTTTAAACTCATTATAATTAATGCAAATTACCATATTATACTCTTCTCTCTATCTACTTTTTTAAAGAAAAAAACCTAGAAAACTCAAATTTAATGGGATATGTCTATTATCATTCGAGAGAACATTCTTTGGCATATAGTTTTTGAAGAATATCTCGTTCAAATGTTGGCCGACGAATGACACGCCTTAATCGAAGCGGGAATGTCCGCATATAGACTTAGGCTTTAGGGATATGTAGCCCCACAGAAAAAGTCTAATGGTGTGATATCACACGATCTTGGTGGCCAATCAACCGGCTAAAACGTGAAATTATATGCTCACCGAAGTGTTCTCTCAATAAATCCATTGATTGATGCGATGTCTGGGAAGTGGTGCCGTCTTGTTGAAACCAAATGTCACCGAGATCACGAACTTCAATTTCAGGCATCAAGTAGTTGGTTATCATGGCGCGATAACGGTCGTCATTGACAGTTACGTTCTTACTGGCATCATTTTTGAAGAAATATGTACCGATGCTTTTACCGTCCCACAAACCACACCAAACCATTGTTTTTTCTGAATGAAAT